ATAAAAAAAAAATTATGAACATACAAAAAAATTATTAACCATGGAGAAGGCAAAATGTCATAAAACTATGGCAGACCTCGGAATGTACACAATCTAGGAACTAAATCATTAAGAAAAGACAGCCTCAGCTGGTAGCAAGTAACAGAAAACCTCTGTTTACGCTATATTAATTACAGTTTGACTCAGAATATATTACTTTATGTTTCTATCTGCAAACTAGAAATCTGATATAACTGCTGAATAATTGATTAAAACGTAAGCTACATACAACAAATATGTCTGTGACAGGAGATGTGGACTAACTTTTTTGTTAGTGCTGGTTCTTGTAAAGGTAACATGCTCACTCAAAGTCAAACTGGAATACTTATACTATGACACATTGTTGCTCACATCACAAACTAACACAATGAAAGTAGATTATGGTAGTTCGTGGAAACTGTGTTAATATACAGGCTGTTGTTGTTGAGGAATTTTTTGTGTGGTAAAGAATACAAAAGTGCTTGACTACCATGCTTATTTTGAAGTACTTTTTTTTTTACGAACTACAATTTAAAATAATTTTTAATATTGAATATTCTTAACCACATAAAAAAGTCCTTAACAACAACAGCCCATATTTTATTGCACTATTTTGTTTTCACAATCTAACACAATCTATTTTTATTGTGTTAGTTTATGATGTGAGCTACTGTATGACTCAAATTCTACTCTTGGTTAACAATTTGAATAAAATATAAAATATAATATATTAAAACGTATTATATTTTACAGTACTGCAAACAGATATCTTGTTATTGCTACATGAATGACTGATTGATTGATTGATTGAAAGTTCTTCAACTAATGTGACAGAAAATATTTTTACGACAGGAAATGTGTACTACCGTAAATCCTCGAATACTGTAAGCACCGCTCAGGCTGTCCAATATTCACCGTTCTTAAATAAGCGCCGCAACAAACATGATTTTTTTCGCCGAGCTCTTGAATAAGTACCGTGACGCTTAGACCTATTCAAAAATTTTTCTATTTTGAATAAGCACTGGGGCACTTAATCGAGAGTGCAATTTAGGCCTACCCTGTGTGTAATGAAACACTTGGAGAAACAGGGTTTTAAATAAAATGTACAGTATACAGTGTAAATATGAATAAATGTATATCTTAATATTTAAAAACGTATATTTACAATATGTAGGGACTAGGCCTACCAAACTATGGGAACATGCGAGATACAATAGCGGTAGGTCTGGATACGGGCATGGAAAGCGCAATGCCAGTATATTTTAAGTAAGCTTCGCTCTCAAATATCAAGCGCAACACTGAAGGCTCCAAATATTTTAAAAGCGACCGCTTTTTCACGGATTTACGTTAATAACTTTTGAAACAGTTCTTACAGTATACAAGCTCACACCTGAATCCTTGAACTGACAAGTGAATTCTACTGTCTAGTCATAGTTTGTATCCGTTTGTGCCCTCTTTTATCTTTATTTATGTTAAAAATTCATAGACCTAATTCACGTAATGCTGACTTATTCTCTGTGCCCCTTAGCCAAGTCAATGCTACTAAAAATGGTTTTATTGACTCTCATATAACTATAATACCATTACATGTAACAATACCTCTATTGGCATTTTTAACATTATTCCATGTGTACTTCCAAAGTTGCTAATTCAGTATAGGCTTTCTTTAGTTAAGCTAGGCACTCTCTTTATTGTCGATTTGCTTCCTTTTTATGTTGTTTTTTACTATATTTTATATATTGTATGTTTAAGACATCCTGTAATTGGCGATTCCGCTGTTGGATGTAATTGAAATAAAATAAAATAAAATAAAAAAATGTGTTTGCAAACAAATCTCATAATCAATGCCAAATGATTGATTGATTGATTGATTGGAAATCCACTAACTAATGTGACGAACATTTTTGTACTTACAGTAGTAACTTTTGACACAGTTCTTTTGATATAAAAAGTAAACATGCTCACACTGGAACCTTTGTACAATGTATTATGACACTTTATTAGTGAATTCTATACATCCTATTAACCACAAAGCAGACAAATTATGGCTAGTGTATAGAAAATAGGAGCTAAAGGCTGGTTTCCTGTCGACATTAAAGTTAGAATGTCTTCAAATTCTATGTGAAGATTAAAAAAACCAAACATCGATCATAATTTCTCAAAATTTCAGCAAGTTATGATATGCCTCCCTTCATTAAATATATTACTGATGTCTAAAAGTATTCCAAAAATTAGCAAATGAAGCTTGGATATCTAGAGAAATAATTGTACTGTATATTCAACTGTATACCCAGCTAGGATTTTTTTTTTACACTTCATATTATTGTTCACTTAAAATACTCCAGCATTTGGACTTGGGATTACAAATGTATGGTACAGTATACCAGGCTAATACATGAAATATTCAGTAAGTTTCCTGGTAGAAAAACCACAGGTTTTTTTTTCCTTTGATCCTTTGCATGTGAGTCTCAAACACTACTCACAATTTCCTTTGGATTAACTTCAAGATCCTGTCTAAACACTACATAATCCAAAATTATAAACAGAATGATCTTTCATTCACGCTCATATCTTTTACCACTATTAAAAAGAACTGATTGTATTTTATACTGTCGACTTGCTGTATTCACTAAATTTGGAACTCTGGTACTCCCTATTTTGTCCCTTTTGACGAGACAATGTTTAATAATACTGCGTTCAAATATTTAATCTGGTAGGTTATGTTGGTTTACTGTATTCTTTGTTAGATCCGAGACAGCAAACACACACTTTTGCTCCCTTTAGTGTTCCAACCACTATTTCGAATACATTACAGTATAGGCCTGTTGTTGACCCCTTTGTTAACTGTCATTCTGTATACCTAATAGATCGACAACAACTGGGCATTATCCATGCCAAATTTTGAAAGGGTGCATAGTGGAGACAGCTTTAATTTTGTTGGCTACAGTTGGCAGGATCCAGTAATTTAGGGACTAAGAATCAATTTCATTATATTATTCACAAAAATTAAAATGAATGATCTGAAAACTGGTTGACATTGATTTTTTTAAACTTGGCCATCAATTCGTGAGGTACAGGCTCCCTCCTATCTTTCAATGTGAGAGGGAAGGATCAATAGTCCACTCATAATACTGTTTCGATACTCTATCTACTGTAGACCAAGAGTGAGCATAAAAATTGGTTAGAGGGCCAAAATACACAAATTATGGTGATGTTAATAGTCTATTATGAGTGGATACTTGGATAAACTGATTAATTGCCTATTCTCTTACCTAAGAGAACACTCCTCAAAAAATAATAACAACAACAATAATAATAATAACAGTTGACTCCTTGCACCAAGCGGGCGCCAAGCACAAGCGATGCTGCAACCTGGACAATGCGTCTTCTTCATTCGGTCAGAGGGCCAAAATCAATTTTACGATGAACACAGAAGTCTGCATGCAGAATCTTTCTTTTTCATTTTTGCTTCCAATATGCCTTTAAAAAGTTCCCATTTTGCAAGTTTCAGACAAAGATTTTTTTAACAAAGATCGGTGGCGGGCTGTAAAAACAAGAATTTTTTTCAAGGCACCGAAAGGATGGTAGGCATGTCAGGGTTTTTGAATAACTTCTTCAGGCCGCGACAAAACTCTTGTTGGGATGCGTATGTGGCCTGCTAGCAGTACTTTGCTACTAAATTCCTATTTCAGTTGAGAGTATCGAGTAGTTCAAAATTAAAACATTACTATTTTCCTGTTATCACATTGTTTGACCATGGTTTGACCTGTATTATATTCAAGTCTTGAATAACTCAATAATTATTTACAGTATTTCATCTTTTCACTTTACATCAATTTACAGTACTTTCTTTACTTTCAGTGCATGCTATTTATTCCTATGGCCTACTATTTATGTTTGATTCGGTTTTACATGCATGTTTATTATTATATTATTGTCTTAGTATTGTAATTTATTTTTTAATATCATTACATGTATTATTTTCTCTTTTTCTTTTGGTAGTGCTATTTTTTCTTTGGCTCACTTAAGTAAGTTCTTTTACAATAAAACTTCACAAAAAAAAAATTGTTTAGTAAATAATAAATATAATCTCTTTCTTTTTATCTCTTCTCTTTCTCTTTATTGCATACAAAAGAACAAAGAGAAAACAGGCACTGTAGTATGCAATAGGAGCCAAGAAAAATAGCCAAAGCTAATCGAGCTTGAGCCCCTTTCAAATCAAACATCTTATACAATACATATGATAAAATATAAATAAATAGGCCTATAAAAAAAAAATCGGACCCAGTTTGAAGTACAATACAGTAGGCATGATCGTCCTGGAAATGGGCCCGATAGTCTGGAAATGGCCTCGATCGTCAGACTGTATGTAGGCAAAATCATTCAGCCCATAACAGTCATTTATATTATTTTGATGTTTGATATACCGAAATAAATTAATAACAGAAATAAATAAGATCATTTTAATTTTGAATCTTAATCTGTTGTTAGAAGGCTATGGCCTAGGCCTATTAGGCCTCATAAAAAAATTATTAGTTTATCACCCCCTCCCTCATCATTCTTTGATAGGGTGATAAACTAATAATTTTTTTATGGGGCCTTAAATAAATTTAGAACACAAAATTGAATCAAAGTGAACCCAATATAGTTCACACTAGGTGGACCCGATCATCCACACTAGTTGGGCCCGATCCTCTGGAAATGAGGACCCAATCGTCTCGTGGGCCCGATCGTCTGCTACACGTACCGTATTGTTTATGAGAAATAGGTTAGGCTAGGCCTAACCTAGCCTAGGTAGGAGGCCTAGGACTACTAAGCCTAGGCAGACGATAAATGTACACAGCGAAATAAGCCTAGGTTAGGCCAAGCCCTATATTAGCCTTACGGCTGGTTATTAACCGTAATAAATGACTATAGGCCTTAAGCCTGTACACAGCAATATAATATTATTAGTAGTAGTATTGCAGCCCTTTTATACTTACCACCAGTCAATATGAAGAACTAGCCTACCACCAGAATGAAATGGATGAATTCTCAACGTTCAACGTGGTGGTGGGATTGTTGGATGGTGTAATCAGAAGATGCGGGTAGGCTAAAGTCAAAGAAGCTTTTTATTTATATTCTACCTCCTCGTATTAAAATACCTATGTTTAACTTTAAGTACTTAAGGCCTTACTACACGCCTTTTCTTATGGACTGGAGCCTTTAAAATATGGGATAAACAACCAGAAACTTTTTCCTCAAGAACCGCTCCTCACTGAAATCGTATCCAACTGTGTTTTCAATTTTAACCAAAGATACTAGAAATACAAGATAGAGTTTTCCACACAAAAAAAAGTGTTCCACCGAAATGCATGGTGGGAATACAAACAATGGGACGCCCCCTACAGCTCGATCTAAAAAAACTTCTGCCAAACTTTCGTTATCAAGTCGTCGCGTATTTTATTATCAATCCACTTTTTATTTACTAAATATAAAAACAAACTGGAATAGATACCCAGACAGTGACATCGGTGAATACATAACCTCCTTGGTGGCGGTAGAAATCGTTGCTATTATCCAAATAAAACACAAAACAATTAAAGCATAATCATGAATCAGTAAAGAATAAAACAACAATACAGCGCAGAATCGTATGGACGCACTCTTAGTGAAAAAGTTTTCCTCCATTAGTGGAAAAGGAAGGGCGCCTTTTGCGTCTGGATATACTTAGCAACAGAAGGGCGCCCTGTACGTTGGGCACGAAGTATAGAAAACTTGCATGGTTAAAAAGAAGAGCGCCGCCTACGTTGGGCACGGCTTCCGCCTCATTTTTACAACGCGAGTGCTCTATTATGTATTAAATTCTAGTATCTTTGATTTAACTTTAACTAGATATGAAAAACGCCCTCATGAATGATTATCAAGCGAGAGATCGAGAGAATGTGTGTGTGTGTGTTTTGTATACCATTTGAGGTCACCTCCAGAGCGAATTTAATATTTCCTTGTTGTTGGGCAGACAGTGGCGTATCTAGGGGTGCGAGGACGAAGGTGCACCCACAAAAAGCTCACGCCCTCCAAAAAAATCCCACTTTATTTAGTTAAAACTCACCTGACCATATCACCTGATTTTGCTAGCGAACCCACCTTGGCACAAATAAGCGATTCCTTTATTACACATTCGCGCCCACCCTCATCAATCACCCCAACATTTCTAGACTCTAGATACGTGTATTATTCGGTTAATAGTACTATCATACAAACCAAAACATCCGATTATTGACACATAAAAATATACAATAGCACTGGAATTTGCGTGCATGGAAAAACAAGGAAAATTTTAAAATATGTATAAAAAATGTAGACTATATTATTATTATTAATAATGTACCCAAATGTATAAATCAATGTTCGTAAAAAAACAAAAACTTCACTGAATATTGCACGCGCTGAACGTGCCCTCCGCTAGCCGACCAGGGACCTTCCTGAGTTCGCAGGTACACTTGCACAGGCGGCGTACAAGGAATCCTGCAGTTGGGCTTGCATTGAAGGCGGGGCATCACGATGCATCTATATATATTCGCATATAGGCCTATATATATATATGACGATCGCAATAGCGTGAAACTCCGAGTAGCAACATTCTGTTCCAGCGACCTCCAGTTCTATATATATATATATATATATATAAAGAAGGCGTGTCCACGTGTGTTTCGAAACATATGTAGAATATAATATAACGTAACAGTAAAGAAACTCGATATCAGTGGCGGAGCATGGAGGAATTAGTTTAGATGGGCGGAGCTAGTAAGAGAAATAGAGGCCCAGGAAGGTATTTCGCGGTCTGTATCATCCATGATTATGGCCGGAAATGGCACTCAAAGACTTAAAATTTTAATATAGTTTTCTTTTTGTCACTAATTGTTTTTTATTTTGACTAATTTAGGGAGGCCTCTTAGTCCGATGATAATATGATAATAAATTACCGAGTGATGGCATGATAATTACATAATTAATGTCGAAATGTTGAATCTCGACACGATGGCGTGCAAATTACTTAGTATTCTGTACGTTAACACATCAGGTAGGGTAAATAATCACTCCTATTATATATATTTCCTGTGCAAACTCACATCTTAATAGCATTTGTAGTGGTTTCCATCTGGCTAAATCTGGGTCGATTGCCACACGAACCATTCAACAAATTATATTATTGGCTAGTATTTGGGGACGTACTGAGTATTCGGTACGATAATACGACAGGGTGGGCAAATAATCACTCCTATGATATTTCCTTGTAGAGGTTTTCATCTGGCTAGATAACTGGAAGTCGTGGGTTCGATTCCCATCCGAAACAATTTTTTAAATATCTTATTTGAATATTTTTATAATCTATTTTTAACATGATTTTTAAAAATAAAACGGACTTAATATTCGAATATTTAATAAGAACATAAGATATATTTATTAATGACGATTAGGCCTATTTTGAATATTTAAGTTTTTCTTTACTTTTGACACCATGACATATTCGTATCATGTTATCAGGTAGTCTCGGATTCGACTGGCTGGTACTTGTGTGATACAAAGATTCATCGCATAATATTTATGGGTTAAGGGTCGCGGTGTTTCCTCACTCCGTTCAGTCGAGTTAGTGATACAATGGCTAGATAACCTGAAGGTCTTGGGTTCGATTCCCACACGAACCATTTTTTTAAAATTTTGTTATTGGCTAGTATATGTAAAAATCATGTTATGCCTGTTTCTAATTATTCAAGCCACGTTTTTAATTCAATTGCATTGTTTTGATTGTATTACTTTGCTTCTCCTTGTTGGAAGTTATTTTTGAATACAGTAAATGAAATAAAATATGGGGACGTTCCGTAACCTATATCACAAGCTTGATTTTTATTGTATAATGTGTATGTATGTATACAACATATTATTGTATCGCATTAATAGGTCCATGTTCGTATCGTCAGCAAGTATTAAGGGCTTATTGAAAGAACGATGTAAAACAATTTTTAAAAATTCCACTGGGTGGGCCTGGCCCCCGCCCCACTTCTGTGACTGTTACCAGCACCAGTGACAACAATTTTACGAACGCTGCAATGTCATTATTATTATTATTATTATTATTATTATTATTATTATTATTATTATTATTATTATTATTATTATTATTATTATTATTATTATTACTATAAAATATAGGCCTAGATATTTCTTTTTCCTTTTCAACCAACATTACAAGTTCTCTTTCTGAGTTGAGCAGCCAAATGTTGATTGACGTCTGGATACGCGCGTCCGTAAAGTTTCCTTGAAAGTACCCACCCTCGAGCACGAAGAAAAAATCGCCTGCCTTCGTGAATTCTTATTTATGCATATGGGGGATGGAGGCAGGCGCTCTTAATGGAACGACGCTCTAGTTGTCTTTATGCTAACCACGAAGATGTATAGTAAAAGTGTAACTGATTGGATTACAGTAAAGTAGCGTAATATAACCACATTTTAACTCCATCTAATTTAACGAAAACAAGATACTTAATTATGCCATTTTAAAAAATAAAGTTCTCTGAAGGTTAACTACAGAATTTACAGTACACTGTTAGTTAATGTGTTATAGGTTGTAAAAACTGTATTGAGTAAAAAAAAATCTTTCGAATAAACAAAAAATCCTTCTCTTGACATTTGGAAATAATCATTTGTAAAGCAAAATAATAGGCTATGTCAAGTGTTAGGCCTATATTGAACTGTGGATGGCAGATTCAAGGGGGAACCAAGTCAGCACGGGCCCCCAACCTCCTAATTAAATAAAAAATGCAGAAAACAGACAAAATTGTATTAAACTTTTAATCCGAAGTGCCCATTTCCGGCCACCTGTGGAGGTCACTGGCATAATCATATTTTTTTTACCTCAGCCCCAACACTTGTGGGGCTGAGGTGGGTGGACATTCTATTTGCGCAAAACCCTCCCTGATTCCCCTCTACAGTATTTCGACTTCCTGGACCCGCCACAGTTGGAGCAGGGAGTTTAATAACAACTCCCTGGTTGGAGTATAATTTCTGGGCTAGGCCCTACATAGAAAGTTAATTTTTATCCATCAATAATTATGAAGTCATATTACAGTAGCTTGATGCCTATAAAATAACTTATAAAATTCATCATACTTTGTAAAATATCCGTAGCCCTTGGCGGACCCCTGGCCCCCAACCTAGATGCTCGCTACGCTCGCATGCTGGACCTTATGAAATGCCCTTCCCCCCCCCCCACTTTAAAAAATGTTCCGCCGCCGCCGTTGCTCCTTCGTGTTTTGCACTGGGGTGGGGGCGATTTTGTCCATTTGGCGTTCCATACTCGTATCCGTTCGAGAGCTGCGAAAAAAAAAAAACGCCGCAGCGCCGCGGCGGTCCGTTCGAACTGGCGTGTAGGGTAGTTGAGTGGTTTCTGGTTGTCAACTGTTTTCTTATCTTTAATAAATTAAATGGATAACAGGAATTATCATAATCAGAACTTGAATAAATTTCACAATGAGGTATATTGAATTTATTTGTATTTACCAGGGATAAGTTCGTCAAAATAACGTCCACATATCCTAGCTAGGCCTAGCATAGGCAGGCCTCTTCGTTCGGTGTTTGTAGCTAGCAAAAGCTAGGCTAGGACTAGGAGTTTAGGCCCAGAGGTAAGGGTATGCCTAGACAGTACCAGAACCACTGCTAAGCTAGGCCTAATACAGTATACCTACCACCAGAATACCGGATGCGTGTGAGAAGTAAAGGGCGTGGTTGGGAGCTGAAATGCACTAGGTAGACCTAGGCTAGGCTACCTACTATAGGCTATAGTAATACTAGGGCTAGGCTATACTATACTGTAGTCATACATAGGACTACATAGGCTGGCCCCAAGCTAGGCCTAGCATACCCCTTAGATATGAATTACCTTTATTTTTATCGCCGTGGCTAGAGATACGTTATCGTATTTCTACTTTGTTTTGCTAAAGGTACGGTAAATGGCATTACGTCACCATCACCCAATGAAATGCCGGAATGTGCGTGACATCATTTTTTGAAGACTGGTATTGCATATCACCCGCAATGAGCGGTGGAAGGAGAACGATCAATTAGAACATCAAAACTACAATATTGTTTGACTTTACTGTCATCCTTAAATAGGCGTATGGTTCCGCTTTATAGTAAAAGTAGGCCTGTATGAATTCTCTTGTTTACAGTATATTCATTTTTTTATTGCAAGTGTTGTCATATAAATAGATTACCAAAGACTAGCAGTAGTGTATACATGTGCCTTGGCCTAAGTCCTGAGGATGATGCCTTGCTTGATAAGGCTATATAATGACATGACTTTATTATTGAGTGGTATGCCTATTTTTCTATGACAGTATTAAGGTCTGCATCAAAATTATTGGAAAAATTAGACTCTATTGTAATAGTCACAAAAGGGAAACTTATTCTCTCGATCTAGGCCTAGATTCTGTACCATAACAGTGACGAAGTATAGCCCTACGAAAAGTTTTGTGCATTCAAATTGTATGAATATTTTGGTGGAATTGTAAAGCGTGGTATTATTTCGAACTTCTTGGACTAAAACTTGGGATGTAGGGATTATGAAGTTCAGACGGTATGATGACGATTCCGAATTACAGACTGTAGATGTGTATAAGAGACAGATGCAATGCCAGTCTTGAAAAATGACGTCACGCACATTCTGGCACTTCATTGGGTGATGGTGACGTAATGCCATTTACCGTACCTTTAGCAAATTGAAGTAGAAATACGGTACCGTATCTCTAGCCACAGCGTATTTTTATATGTTTATATTTTCTATTTATTATGTTGTATAAAGCATGTATTGGTATTCTATTTACATTGATATAATCATTGTCATGTCAACATGTTTGGATTATATTGTCCGTACGATTGTTGATACGGCAGGGTGTTCTAAATTGTTACATTACTCAGGTCAAACTGGAATCTTGCTCTAATGCCAGTAGGCGGTAATGTACTTTAGAGCTGTGTTCACGTAAAAATGACTATGATAATTGATTTAAGTTTAGTAGAATAAGGTAACATATTAAATACATATGAAACAGTAACCATTAAGGTTTTCTATAGTGAGTTCAACTAACTACGTGAAATTACATTTTTATCGTTAATTTGTTATGTTAAATGTTTATATGCCATAGAATAGTTACTATTTGTAAGTAAACTTTAGGAAGTATTTGAGAGTACAGCTAATAAATATCGGCCTACCTACTCAGTATAAGGCATTTGGTAATTAGACTAAACATCTAAAATTAAAGGTTGCCAAGGCCATTTGCTCTCATTCATTGTTTATAGTGAACTGCTTAGATAATCTTTGCTATGTTCCTTTATTAGTATTACAGTATATTGCTACTGTATTATACTGTAGTTATTATCGTTTTATTATATTGTTGTTAATATTAACATTATCTATCATTATTGATAGTATTATTTCTTTTATTATTCATATTATTAAGATCATTTGTTTGTATTGCATTTCAGTTTAAACCGTAGGCGTAGGAGTAGCGCATCGTACGTAAGGTGACAACGTAACATATCATAACGTAACGTAACGCAACACATGATATCATGACATTGTGACATCATATGACACAGTAGATGTACACCGTGCAAGAATAAAGCATGTACCATTTATGTTAATTTTACATTGTCTACGCGTTTGATTCATTTCTACCTCTACCAGAACCGAAAATAGTAACGCACAGGGTGCAAGGTTACAGTCTATTGCTGTCTGTAGGCATAATTCTTCATTAAAAAAAATCGCATTAAATTAAAATTTTTTTGTTGTTTCAGACTCAAAGACAAGCTGTGAGGGACAACACACATCATCAACAATATTCTTTCCATCAGTCGAATAAACTTTCCCATTCGCGATTTAGACAAAATATTCCATCAAACGAAGGTCATGAGAGTGATCAAATTCAGGCCTTTCCACCGATATATCCGACACAGCAAAATTGGCAGGAGCATCATACATCAAGGTTATCAAAGAGTTGGCCTGATTCAGGTGACAGGAGGACAGAATGGCAACAGAGAGATCAATACACGGCAGAAACAGATACTAGCCATAGGTTTAATAGGAATGACTCCACTTGGTCTCAAAGTTACTCACAACCAAGCCAAGCTTACAATAAGCAACAGGTACAACCCCAGAGGTTTGGCAATGATCCCGGAATGAGCAGCAGCCATCAGGAGAAAATGTTTCCCCATCGAAGTGAGTACAGTGATTGTAATAGATCAAGATTTCAGGATAGTGGAATAACAAATGAGTCTGTTCCAGGGAATATCAGAAGGACTGACTCCACTAGAGAAGGACGACGTTCCGAGAAAACTGCAGCTTATGAAGACCTGCAAATGAATAAATTCAACCAACAGAAACCAAATTATCAACAGCAGTTCAGTAGTAACAGAAGACGTGAGGGATCCTCCTCATCACGGTCCTCATTTGACAGGCAGTCGCCTTACAGACGTCGGTCAAGAAGTAGGTCACCACGGCATAGGTCACACCATCCGTCTGCATCTGGATCACAGCGATCTGGCAGATCCAAGCTGCCATCTGGTTCACGAAGTTGCAAAAGTCCATTACAAAAAGAACATCGTGGGTCGAGGGATGAAAATCGTAGATCACGAAGAGACAAGCTATCACCAATACCAGGAGAGATAAGAGAAAGTACACCAATGAATACTGAGGGGTTACAAGATGAAGTATCACCTACAAGGTAATGTCATAAATGTATTAGCTACACATAGGATACAGTATATTATATAATTTTCTGATACGGTATATAATAGACCATGCTAAAAATGATTTTAATTAAATAACTTAAAAATAAATATGATATTGTATAAATTATAGAGTTGGATAGAATTTTGTTTTTAAAATTTAAAAAAAAATGTATAAACTAGATAGTAAAAATATAAACACAATACAAATCTACAGGTATACATGGCATATTGATAACAACATTTAAATTGGCCTAAACTGACATCTTTTAACATTTGTATTGTAAATAGTACTGGGAGAAAAAGAATTTCTGTAACAGCAGCATGTGGTACATTTAAGCAGTCATCAATCACCCCATGTACATTGGCTGTTAACCACTACGCTAATGGTTATGGTTTTAGATTACTCAATTTGATACCTTAGCCATGGGTTTTAGCCCCCTTTTGCCCGCAAAAAGTTAACCACTGGGCTAAAATACATGGTTAAAAGGTATTGAAATTAATTAAATGTTTGAAAATTGTTTAAATTGCAGATCTTTATCAAGAAAAGATAGGTGGGACAACCTTGAAAAGGAAGCTGCATTTTTTAACTCGTCTCAAGGCAGCAAGGAAAAGATAAAAGATGATGATGGAGAAGAGAAGCAGTCCACTCCCCCATGGATACAGTGCTCCCCAAAAGAAAACTTCTACACCAGTGAGGCTAGCAAACAGAAGGTAGTCAATATAGAGTACTAATTTCCACTTGACGCTTGCTTTGTTAATGAGCAGCTGCATACCAAGTTGCTGTTATTGGTGAATGCTTAACTGCCCCCAGTCATAGCTTTTTCCTCTGATGTACTGTATCAGAATTTCTGATTTTTAAATCTTGATAAAAATATGAAAACAGGCATTATTTTATGTATGTTTTTAATTGTCATAAGTATGTGTTAACAAATATATATATGTTTACATAGCAAGAATGTTTAATGTTGAATTGAGAAAAGCTACTGTATTTAATATGTACCTTGTTAAAACAAAAGAGACAAAAAATCATGAAAAATGGGTTCAGTGGTAAAGAATGGAACCGTTCACATCAAATTCGCACGATTTCCAATCTGGACTCTGGATCCGGACCGATGGATCTGAGAGCCATTTGTATCGTGAAATCGTACATTTTTTTTCTTGGACCAATCAGCAACACGCTTGGTTGGTTTGAACCAATCGAACGCATACATACTTAAACCCGAATAACCGTGTTCTGGGCGTGATGTGAACGTAGCTTTACCCTAGGTAGCACCAAGTAAAATTGTGCTTTTTGGTATTAACAGCTATCTGTTTCATATTCTTTCTGATGAGTAATTTTTCTGTCTTTAGAACCAATCTACAATGGCTGCTACATCCAAACTAATTGAGCTGCTTGATAAGTTTCAAACACAGATAGTAGAAAGAGGCAAGAGATTACGGGATAAACAACCCCCTGTACAACTTCCAGCACCGAAACGGCATTGGCACGTACATAAGGGTAAGTTCCACCAACAGTAAATTAATGTTTTGAGGAAATATTTACTTTTCGTAAATTTTGGTTTAAGAGTAGGCAAAAAAATGTTTGTTTTGCATGAGATTGACCAACCCAAGATTTACAGCCTGTGTTTTTTGAGGAAATTCGTCCAGAAGTATCTGTAAATATTCATATGGTGTTTAAAAAGTAGATTTTTGCAAGCTTTACTTAGGGAAAATTTTTTTGTATAATGTGCCAAAATAGTTCCAATTCCGAATTACAGACTGTTCTGACTCATCATCATCGTCCTCTGACTCAAGTTCCTCAGACAGTGACTCTGAAGACTATGATCCACTGGAGACATTCAAGATCAAGGAACAACATCCATACCGTCTGCACAAGAATCTCTGGTACAATGATGCAGGAGAGGTGAGGTTTGCTGTCACTACCAGAGGAAATTCTTAGAGAATGATTTGAATTATTACCTCATAAATGAGTGAATATATTGCTGTATGAATTCCAGTCTCTCAATTAATTTATCTGTTTATAAAGTCAATTAATTTATTATGTATTAATATGTCTTTGAAAAGTATAAATCATTAAGAAATAATACATTCTAAAACTTTTCAGAACAGGGTAAAATGGTCCAAAAATGGCAGTTTCTGTAGGCACCCATATGGGTCCCCTGGATTCCCAAAAGAGATTCATCTTTGGACCCTGCTTCCCCCTCCTAAATATGTATCTTAGGATAAAGGTAGGGAATAACCTGTGACTCGTAGATTTACTAGCTGAATTACTCACAGTCCGACATAAACTCATTCAACTTCCTTTCCCACAAAGAGTCAGTTCATGTCCAATCAGCTGCCGAGAGGTGCACATTTACCTGTCCACAACAACAGAGAGAAGATAGACCAGTACAGCAAGATAATTAAAGGATGGACTGGGGTCCTTAAAGTGTACTCCAGCCAATTGTGTATACTTGGCCTCCTTTTAAAAGTCCATATTGAAGAGACATGGCTCAGCAACATAGTGAGGAGTTAGATTCGAACCTGTGCACATGATATTACGGTTGTAGGCATTGGTGCCACTGCCATACCACTCGACTACTCAACTCGTTTGAAGTTACAGCACCTGTTTAATCTAAAGACAGTCTCCCACCTAAAAACTAACCGGATCCAACTTGAAGCCCTCAAATTGAAGCCCTCGTCTTTTTTTTTTTGCAAACACTGGATGGGCTTCTTTTTGAGATGGGCTGCTTTTCAAGGCTACTTTTGCAAAGTAAAAAAGGGGAGGGGCGGTGTTTCTTTTCAAAATGAATGCTGTAAATTGTAGTAATTACTACTATAAAACAATAAATAGGGCCATTGTAATGTCAATCTGTATCATGGAGTGTATTAACCAGCATTTAATCACCTAAACTACTGTACAAACCAAGCATGTTTTTAATTTATTTTGTTGATTTGAAATTCATGTACAGAGTACTATGTACTGTACTATTTTGAAAAAAGCCAATGCTATCTTGAAAAGAAGCCCATGGGCTTCTTTTCGAGGCTGATTTTTGCCAACTAAAGAGGGGGCTTCAATTTGAGATGGGCTTCTTCTTGAGATTAAGCCCATTGGGCTTCTATTGAAGGTTTTACGGTATGACAAAAATGAGAAGATAATTGTAAGTGATGATGTTGCCATAAATTATTGTTGTAGTGATTATCAAATTGTAAAACTCTTGCTTTCTCATTTCAGCTTAATGAAGGTCCATTGTGCAGTTGCAGTCCATCTGCAAGGAAAATAGGCATCCAGCACAACATATTTCCTGGCGAAACCCCTTTCCCTTTATGTAACCCCCTTACCAATAATGCTGGGAAACTTCACCACTACCGAATCACAATGTCTCCAGCTAAAAACTTTTTGGTATGAACTTTAAATATCAAGAAATATAAACACAGGTCTCCCTCTAATTAAAGATCCCTCCAATCAAAGCCACCTCCAATTAAACACTACTTTTCTGTACTCCCAAATTAACAAATATCTTTATCTGTATTATTTTTAGAGACAAAGCTGCTAAAGACCATGGAAAATTCGGTCCCAAAAGTGGTCTGTAATCGGCGGGAGACCTGTAGTAGATAGAGACCCATTCACGCAATATTGTTTCAGTATTTTTCGACCATGTATATTTGAGAATCTTTATTATTACTTATTTATTTCAACAATATTTTGTGAGGGTGGTCCACCCAGTCTTAGGACTTGTATTAAATCCTAATGATAGGTTAGGTGGCCAAAGCCTATTTTTTTTTTTATTTAAACATTCATTTATACTTAAACATTCATATAATATGGATAATATTATAGCATATTTATAGCATTGAAGGTTCCCTTCTGAGGGAACTCACATTGCTTGACAATATGGGGCCTGCCATGCTAATACCAGCGTGACTAAAACAAGAAAATTGATATTTATATATTTATATAAGTAACCATTAGAAACCAAAAAATAACAAACACCCACCTACTAATTTCATTCTCAAGGTAACATTTATCAAGTCTGTGGCAAAGACAAGCCAAACCAGTCACTTGTCGCAAAAATCAATTATTAGTTATTAATACAATGTTTAACAGTAAAATGAGAGCTATAAAATGGTAAAAGAATCATTTAAATCTGACATTACGTTATGAAGTTACAGGAATTTAAACATACAGCTGTTTAAAGCACAATATTTGAGAAATCAGCCTTCAAAGTTTACGATTTCAGGCATCACCAAATCGTTAAAAATTGTTGTTCTATCACTGAAAATGAGGAAAATAACAGCATAGCATGATGTATAGATATATAAAGGTTAGTTTAGTGCAATAAAATAGATTTCCAAAATGTTGACATTCCAGCATGTTTTGGCCATTATCTCCAAAACAGGATTTGCGACGAGTGACTCGTTTGGCTGGTCTTTGCCACATACTCTTCACATTATAAGTTCAAAAGGATAGGTCATTTACTGGAATCAAATTACTATTGCGAAAGTTATGAGTAAAATTTATTATGGCTTCTTTGTACTAAAGTATACAATACCACAACATTGAATATGCTAAGTACTTTTTTTTTTTTTTGCAACAGTTTGCTTGTTTGGCATGGCAAACCTCATATTCACACCACATTTATTATTAATGTTAATTTTTTTTTTCTTTTTTGTTGCAGACACATCAGCCAACAGTAATAGAATATGATGACAGGGAGTACATATTTGAAGGCTTCTCTATGTTCTCACATTTCCCTTTAGATGAGATCCCTACATGCACTGTCATCAGATTCCAGATTGAGTACACGATACATTTTCTACCTGAAGCTATGCCAGAGGTGAGACCAATTCATACAGATTCATTTTTTTTTTTTGAATGCTGTAATAGATTTATTTATTTATTTCTTCATAATTCATAATAGACCATTATTTGCCTAACTAATATTCTATAATGATAACTATATTAGTCGTTAACATCTAACAATTGAGAATTAAAACTGCCACTGATAATTTGCTTTCTTTGGAGAATTGATATAGTTGAGGTCGAGCGAGGGCGGTGCAATCTTTGTTGTTTTTACTGTGAAGCTACATGACCACAATACGAGGGAATTTTGTGAAAATTAGGAACTGTTGCATTTGGCTAGCAAAACATGTTAATTTCGCCTTTTGGAATCTAAACATAATGTCTCTTTTCTTGAACACGCTGGAGAAACATCAGACCTATTTATACAATCGTTTTTATTCATTTCACTTTATCGTAAGTTTAAAAAAGTATACATTTTTAGTGGGGTAAATATTTCAAGTCGGCGAATTAGCCTGACCCTAGGCTGACTAAAAAAATCGGCCTGAGGAGGTAAAATTTTAGTCGAGATTCGCATGATTTAGTCGTGCTAGTCGAAGTTCGTTTTAAGAATACGAAATGACGTAATTTTTAAGTTTTAGCTCGAACTACGACTAAAGTTTGTTTTAAGATTAAGATTACCGGGGTTAGTGTAAAATCTCTGAACAAAGTTTTTACATTGGTGAATTCCATATTGATTTTTGTGACGAGGCTTTAATTTTAGGCGTCACCTTACAGATGAAGGCTAACAGGAAAATGTTTGTTCTTAATAACCTTAAAAGATTTGGGCTGAGCATAGGGGAACTTTGTGCTATTTATACTGGATACATAAGACCTGTCCTTGAATATGTTGATGTGATATGGCACCCCGGAATCAAAAACACTTAGTGCAAAACTTAAGGCTACTCAGAAGCATGCTTGCCATATTATTTTAGGAAGGAACTACCAGACTTATGAATATGCTCTTTGTAATTTGGATACCCTCTTTGAGAGGAGAGCAGCCCACTGCTTCAAATTTGCTAAAGGCCTTTCCCTTTCCAACCATTCTGCTGATCTGATCCCCCTACCCGACAACTATCTCATGGTAGAAGTCTACGCAATGGAAGTAATTATTCACAGCTTAAATGTAAAACCAAAAGATTTTTTAATAGTTCCATACCATATTGCATTCAATTACTCTTAAGCAGTACTGTTGATAGAAGAAATTACACTGCCCTGTTTTGCATGGGTACTGGTTGGTCATTTTCTATCTGAATGTGACACTTTTACCACTACTGATGTAAACATTGTTTAGTAGTACAGTACATGATCACTCTTTTTACCTTGTATGTGTAAATAATTGCAGTATTATCTTTTTCATTTTCTTTCCTTTGACTAATGATAGGTTTTTCTTTTTTCTTGTGTGATATTGTGACTTGATCTGTAGTTCTCTCGCTGTGTTTAGAATTGCGCAGTATGCTTTGGCATGTTTTTTTCTGACAATTTATTTATTTTTTTTTAATTATATTTTTTAATTTATGTTTGAAAAAATGAAATGGCACATGTGTTTTACAAACTATAGTAACATTCTTTTTGCGTACAGGACTTATTATTATGTCAGGGATGTAGTTATGGTGGGTGGAGGTGGGCGGGACCACCCAGCCTTGAGGTTTTCCACCCAGTTTATAGCTAATTTTATAGCTCTCCACCCACCCTTATTAACTCACTTTTTCATCCTTAAAATCCACTGTTATTATTTAGAGTTTACCAATGTTATCACCAACCCACCCTAAAAATGTCTATCGTCCACCCTTAGTTTTCTTCAGCTACAACCCTGTTATGTTGTTCTGCTGCAGTTTTTTGTTTGCTTGCATGAATTGATGCCAATTGAAATTGTTTGTATTATAATCCCTTTATTACATATTAAAGTAAATGTTCATGGCACACACATTCAATGAATCAACACTAATAAACTGTGGTGGTGTAGACAAAAATTCTCTGAAGCATATTCTATGTCTTGATGATGACGATGAATGTGATAATCCAAAACAAGTAGTTAGACATTCTCCATTTTATAATACTGAATCTATGTTTAATTTTCTTGAGAAAAAAATGAAATAATTTCTGCAAACTTAGTTCTAATATACTGTACAGTCAATACATGCCAAATTTAATGAATTAAAAATATCTATACATGAACTGGCAACCCTAAACTTTTATTTTTTGGCTATATGTATACAGGAATCTTGGCTAAGTGAGGGTGAAGATACCTCTCAAATTGAACTTGAAAACTATGAGTGCATATCGCAAGGGAAATCGTGTATGTATGGGAAGGACAATTCAATGAAATAATTTTATGAAAAATGTAATCCTATAGGTAACATAAATCGTCCACCAAAAGACCTAATAGATAACTATAAAATGTTTACACAAGAACTGAACCTGAACTAAAGTCTTTTGACAAATTAAAGCATGATGTTATTATTACAGGGGATACAAACATTAATTTATTTAAAGTCAATGAAAAGAAACGCTTCAGTGATTTTTTCAATACACTAAAAGACCTAATAGATAACTATAAAATGTTTACACAAGACTTGAACCTGAACTAAAGTCTTTTGACAAATTAAAGCATGATGTTATTATTACAGGAGATACAAACATTAATTTACTTAAAGTCAATGAAAAGGAACGCTTCAGTGATTTTTTCGATACACTTACAGGTTTCAGTTTATTCCCATGTATTACTATGCCTAATAGATTTTCTAATAAAAATGGGACTCTGATTGATAATTTCTTCTGTATAATAAAGTCAATCATCAAATGAAACTTCATCTGGTATACTAAGGCCAAAACAAAATTCCCTAACTCACTGAAAAAAATAGGGGTGGAAAAACAAAAAAAAGTTTTTTTTTAGCTTTTTTTTTTACAAATTAAAAAAATGTGAGTGAATTTATCTTCATTTTTTGCTGGATGCTCTACAAATATAGTCGAAAGTTGTTGTCTGATGTAAGATATTGCCATTCTAGGCCTCTGTGGGTTATTTTTATTATTCCATCTGAGTATTTAAAAAATAAAAAAAAAACTTTTTCTACCCGCCCAATTTTTTAAAAAAGAAGGGCAAAAAAACAATTTATTTTATTTGGCCTAATGAAACAATTTAGTGATCATCAACCCTATTTTATCTGTCTTAACATGATCCATATCATATTAAAACCTATAACCAAAATGATGTAATCAATGTCATTGATGAATTAAATAAAAATGATCTGTTATCTAAGTTAGATATAAGGGGAAATCCTAACACAAATATTAATATTTAACTTTAAAAAGCATAAATGTAATCCAAATGGAGTACAAGTGGCATAATATGATCTATCAAATTTAGAGATAAATTTCATCTAAATTTTAAAAGAACACCATTTGAATCTGAGGAATATTTCACATTAAAAACTAATCTTACGACATACAACAGACTTATAGAGCATCATTAGGGTAGCTCAGAAATCGTACTATGAATTGTGTTTTTCTAAATACAAGTATGATATGCATAAAACTTGGTCAACTATAAATGGTAAAATGAACAAAAGAAAGAAAAACACACGTTTTCCAGTGGTCTTCTACATAAAATGGCCAATCGATAACGAATAAGTTAGACATTGCAAATAGATTTAATTAGTATTTTACTAGCATAGGCCCAAATCTAGCCCAAACTATTTATATCAAAAGTGATAATACTTTTGAGGATTACCTTAAAAATAAACACAACTTTAATTTCCAATTTGAAAATATAAATGAAATCGATATTAACAAAATAATTGATGAACTTAAACCTAAGACTAGCTATGGTTGGGATGAACTATATGGCTTTAATAAAATTCTTAAAAACAGTAATAATTAAACCCCTAACATAAGTAATACAGTAGAACCTCAATTTTACGTACGGTACGGGACCAGAGGGCGTACGTAAATCGGGGATTCGTAAAATAGAGGTTGGGTTAAATTTGTGGTAACCTTTGACCTAATAGGTACGTAACGCTCAATAAACGTATGTACGAACGAACGATGTTACTAGGCTAGACCTAGCCTCTAGGCCTACGAACATAACCTTGTGTATAATTTGGGAATTCCCCTTCAAGCCTATTCTAAACAACAGAGCTGTGGTGTTGTCTGGGCCTGTTGAGACAAACTAAACCCATGTGCGCTGCACTGGGCGAGCTAACCAATTAGCATTCGTGTACGTGAAACAGCAACCATGTGCTATGCACTGGGCGAGCCACCCAATTAGCATTCGTGTACGAAACTATGTCTACTCAGCTTTGTGTAGAAAATTCGACCAGACGAGTTCTTCCATGGTTTGCCACACGAAGCTAAGGAGGAAAGCAATAATTTTGAGCACCATCGGTAGTTGTTTGTTTTGAATATTTTCGGGGTTTTTGATGACGTCATCGTCCATACGAGGCGTACGTAAGACCGAGGGTTTGTATAACTGATGTACGTAAAAACGAGGTTCTACTGTAAATCAAATGTTAAACACTGGAATTTTTTCAGAAAAGCTTAAATTAGCCAAAGTAACACCACTTTTCCAAAAAGAAAATGACAAACTCTTTACAATTTATTGTCCAATTTCGGTTTTACCTGCAATATCTAAAGTTTTTGAAAAAGTTATTTATAACCAGCTTTATACTCATTTCCAATCAAACAAATTATTTTATAGCAGTCAATATGGCTTCCGTAAAAACCATTCAACTCAATTATCTGCACTTGAGTTAGTAGATAGGATGATTCAATATATTGATGAAAGTGAAATTCCAATAAATATATATCTAGATTTGTCAAAAGTTTTTGATACCCTAAATCACAATATTCTGCTACAAAAACTAAATTATTGTGGCTTACAGATACGCTCATTAGACCTTCTTAAAAGTTATTTAACAAATCACTCACAATATGTGGATGTAAGTGGAACTAAATCTTATATACTTTAGGTGACGACTGGTGTTATTCAGGGGTCGATACTTGGCCCACTTCTTTTTATCATATATGTAAATGACATATCCGAAGCTAGTAATGTATTTAAAACCATAATCTATGCCGACGACACTACACTTTCAACTACACTGAGAAATCGTATTATTTTAAATAGCAATGATATTATAAACATTGAACTGATGAAAATTAGTGAATGGCTCAAATTAAATAAATTACCCTCAAACATAAATAAATCTAAATTCATGATTTTCCATGCTACTGTACCCAACGCCATCTGAATCTAAACATTTTAAACAGAAATAGATGGGATTAAAATACAGCAGACCAAAGACTTTAACTTTCTTGATATAATTCTAAATCAACATCTAAACTGGAATTAGCCATTATTATTTATTATTAAAACTTTATTTTTACACGGAAGGCTTGTCTCAGCCGGAGGGTGTTATTCTACAAGGCCGTGTTGTCATTGACATTGGAAAATAACAGTATAAAAATAATAACACGCAAAATCACAGAAAGACAAAATCATATACAAATACAAGATACAAAAAATGAAGCATAAACCAAGAATTTTACAAAATTTTAATGTTATTACATTTCCAATAAAATCTATGAATCAATAGGCATTCTTAGTAAAGTTAAAAACATCCCTAAAAGTGTAATGGTGACATTGTATAATTCTCTTATAGTACCACATCTAAACTACGACATCCAGTGTTATAAGTACATTTACTTATTTAGAAAGTTTTTTCACTTTCATTACAGGTTTGAGCACTTATGGTCGATGCTATACAATTACATATTGCCTGTACGTGTCAACATTTTTTTAAATGGATGTTTTTGTTACATTTTAATATTGTTTTTTATTGTATTTATCAGTGCCTTGCCATGCCCCTAAGCTTGACTGGCACTTGCCTAAAGTAAGCATGAGCCCAAGAATTTATTTAAATTTTCTTCTTTATATTATTGGAATGTTTGTACTTTGCACAGTATGCCTTTTATTGAATAAAAGTGGTTTAATAAAAAGAAGTACTATTTAAATAGGCCTATTGTACACACATACGCCAATGATTTCTAATAGCCAATGTATTTTTGTCTGTCTCTTAATACATTATATTTTGTCGCATATGTTGAAGGACAAACTGTTCGAATGGAGTATACAATCTATGATGTACATTGCCTGTTCTTCTTCTTTATGTTGTTCAATTTTCCAGCGCTGAAAAATAAAGTTAACATTGACTGTTAGTGAATATGGAAACATATTAATTAATATACATATTTATTTATAGGACAGCATTCGTTGAGAACTATGCTACACCATGTACCATGATGCCCTTTATTTGAACACTGTATTTAACTTTCTTTGATGATTTATATAGAATTTAACAGTGTTGATGTCTCTCTTGATTTATATTAAATGCTACTATTTATTTCCAGCTGTACCTCCAGATTTATCTGGTTTAAAGCTCATTGTGTAATAGAGTGTACCTGATGGTTACTGTATTTGAATCTGTTCAACCCTGAAGCCTCTGTGGTCTAACCCTATGGTTATGACGCTTGCCTTGACAGCGAAGGTCGCAGGTTTGAATTCTTTTGACGGGATTCAAACTTGCGACCTCTTGCTGTTAAGATTAGTGTATCAACTATTAGACCACAGAGGCTTCATGGTTGAACAGATTCAAATTCAAGATACACTCATTAAACAATAGGTACGGCCGGAAATAAATAGTAGCATATAATATAAATCAAGATAGCTGTTATATACATTGTGTAATAAAGTTCCTCTGAAGGAATTTGAACCTGCGACCTCTTGCTGTTGAGGTGAGCGCCATAACCATTACCAGAACCTTTCGTCATGTATGCTATGTATCTCGGACTCGAGACTTTCTGTTACGTTTCAATATATAGTATTCATTACATTTCGCTTGCTGTTTCTTGGTTTTTCCCATTCCTTTAAATCAGTTTATATATACAAGTATCTAAATCGAGATCCAGCAAGCTGAAAATAATGCAGAGAAGAGCATTCTTGAGGGCGTATCTTATAGATCTGGCAGTAAGATATTAGCGCTATATTAAAACCAAGACGTCAGACACGTTAAAAGTATGAAAGGAACTAGGGCTCTACCTGGCACTTGAAACCACCACAATGCCTTTGTGGTCAAGTGGTTATAACATTTGGCATGTATGCAAAAACAATAAATAAGTATATACTTATTTATTATATTGTATAGAATCTTGATTTTATACTATATCATTTGTCGCGGAAATAAACAATAAAATAGGCAGTTGATTTCTTCAGTCTGATGCCTACCGTACTGAATATAACATCGGTAACTTAAACAAGAAAAAAGTGAGGAACAAATTTAAGCCAAAATCCTCTCAATTATCCAAACCTGAGATAAAGTAGTTTTCACTGGTTCAGGAAAATTATCGAAGGCTTTGGTGACATCCATGCTTAACTTCTTCCAAAAGAGTCGTTCACAAGGCAATTCAATTACTGAATACATCAACATCCTTAACAATTGCTTAGTCCCAACTCTTAGGTGCCTCTTTCCATTTTCTCGTGTATCGTTCTGTTAGATATGAGAGTGAGAATATGATTGTGAAAGTTTTTTTAGAATAGGGGGAGTCTTTGAGGTGGGTCGGTAAGTATAAGATAAATATTGAATTTATGTATTTTTAAAAATTATTTGAAAAAAACGAAATTTTACATCTTGTGGCCTCACAGCCAAATTTTGTGTAAATTAAATTTTTTGTAAAAGGATTACACTATAAAACAGATAAGAATCAGAATAAAAATTAATTGAAATACGGGTGAAGAGGACAGACCCAGTGCGGTTCATGAAATTAGGTATTAAATAGCTTTACGAAATATTTGAAGGGGCTGTTTAAAAAATTAGATGTTTTAATAACTAACTGTACCAATATTAACTTGAGTGCTATTTCCGAGCATCTGCAAGTGTAAATTTTACAAAATTTTCTAATCTGCTGAGGTTATTGGTGAGTCTGACGCAGTACCAATCAATAAATGCTTCCGCTGCCCTTGGGCTCCAGTCCATGTAAATTAAGAGCATCACAGTACGAGTAGAATGAATTGCCTAACATGATTTTGCATGCTTGTTTTGGGTATGATACACCTAATTCAGTTTTATAACGTTCTTCTAATCAAATATTCAGTGACAATTTTAGGCAGCATTTTATTCTAAGCTTTGATGGTCCCAGAAGAAGTACATATAAAAGTAATTATAAATTTCCTCAATAAATTTTAACTGTGTTTTATTAGGGGCCCTCCTTTTGCTGCGAAAATTTAACCGTGGTTTTGAATAACTGTTTATTAACTAGTTAAAATCTTGCTTTTTGAAGTACTTTACTAAAAATGTTCATCCATAAATAGTAATTAAATATTTACTAATAAGTAAACTGAGAGTTTGTAACAAATGTGTCTTAGTGCCCTGTCACATAGTAGCGAATGGAGCTTATGCCGGGCATACAGATACGCTCAATTACGCTCAAATTCTTGGCAAAAAACAAACATTCTTGCATAAAAGACGAATGCCCAACAAATGAGGAACGAATGCTGATCGTACAACTAGAGTCCATTTAACAAATGAAAGCGCGTTTGTCCAACGAATGCCCAACGAATGTCGCATGTATTCCTAGCCTGTTGCGGCTGGTCACATGACATATCTCAACTAGGTCGACCCACACTTCACAGGTTACCTCGGATAGTGCCAGACCAGTTCAAAATTGCTTCATTATGCCTCCCAAGATACATAAATCTACCAACCAAGTGGACAGTCAATACTACAATAGCCGGAGTCAAGAGGCTGCATCACCTCCAAGCACCACTGTCCGTACAGCCTCACCTAAACCTCCCCTTCAACCATCATACCTTGTGACTCCAATGACTGGTCACATAGCAATCTGATCTCCTTGTGAAGTCCATTGTCTTGCAGTGTTTAAAGAAGAAGAGAGCCAAACACCGGGGTTGCAACACCTCTCAGACCCATGAGGATTCGCTGATGAGCATTCTCCATCTCAGATCTGAGTAGAAATGATGAAGAAAAGGGGATACTCGCAGCCACTGTGACGTCAGAGACTGAAAAATGCTATGTGGACTGTAGCTGTACTGTGCACGCATGTTACTATATCTGTACACTAGCATCAAGCACTGTAGATAGACGCCATGTGAAAGTTGGTGTAGGTCGGTATACACTGAGTATTCATTGGCCATTCGTTACCCATTAGTTAGACAAACGCTATGTATACATTATGCATTCGCTATGGCAAAGTTTCAGATGGATTGAACGTATTTGACGAACATACGTATAAACCTAACGTGCGAAACGTTCAAACAACGAATGCTCATCGCATCATTGCGTATTTAGCAGAACGTTGTCATAACCTTCAAAATTTTGAACATGTTCAAAATTTAGAATCGACCCCAGCGTACCTCCCTAACCCTACGAACAGCTAACAAAAATTTTCATAAACGTCGGCACACGTTGGCTGTATTTGCTACAGTGTTACAGGGGCTTGCCTACAATATGATTTTAATAGTTCACTGATGTACAGTAGCCCAGCGTTGAAATTTGGGATAACGTTCAAAGCGGGCGATAACTATTTAGGCCCACAGTAGAGGGTTTATTGTGAGGATGGGGGAACAACCTTAACAAAGTTGCAGGGGTGGTGAGTAGGGGGACTGGAGGGGTTTTTTACTCAATTTGTCAAATATTATTAAAAAAATTATAAGTAACTTAAGTTCCATTTCCGGGCATCCAGAGGTACAAAGTACTCTGGCGCTCCTGCTGTGGACTGTCACTTTCATCTGCACACCCCTTACTTAAATCTTGGATACGCCACTCCTTGTTCTTTATGCTCTCACGCACAGACATTCCTGGCCTTTGTGATCATCTGTTTTTATGATGATGTAAGTAAGTGGTAGAATACTGGTTGAATCCATGTTGGAAGTCCTTCCCTCCCTAACGTCCACACCCTTGCACACAGTACCAGTACTAACCTTGTCTGTTTTGTTTTTATTACGTTCAAAGTAGTCCAATATATTTTGAGCCCATTCTTTAGTCTTTGTATTACTGCAGTCAGTTTGCTCTTTTGAATATATTTCACCTTGGTCGAAGATTTTCAGCTGTCTGCATTCTGCTGCCGACAATGTATGCTTACCATGTGTGTGATATAAAGCTAATAAGTAATAATAAAATGTCTAATTAATTAAAACTATTGTTGAACTTCGTCTCTAATTTAATCAATTATATCACTCTTTGTTATAAATTTCCCTATTCACTGACATTACATCAGAGTATAAAAAAAAAATGCTGTAGACCTAGATATCAAATCTTAAACATTAACAGCAAACCTAATTTGTGACTATATATATACTGTCTCTTATACACATCTAGATGTGTATAAGAGACAGCGTAAATGTGTGGCAATTCATATGCGCCCTGATCTCTATTCATGCAGGGGTGGCACCAGGAATTTCCTAATGAGGGGTAAAAAAAATCCACGATGAGGGGTCCACACGCCCCAGTTGGGGAAGCCTAGCACATCCCTCCTCCACCCCCATCCCTGTCGGGGAAAAAAATTGTGTTGGTTATGGTATTTTTTATTTTAAAAGCCTTTGATTAATAAACATCTTCACATGTCCATAGACAACAAAATATAGGCTTTATTCTAAGTGGAAAAATGGTCTCACTAACAATTTGAAACTTGATTATGTTAAATTCAAAAACAAACTCATAAATATTCTTCGCATTGCCAAAAAGAATTGCTTTATATGCCAATTTTAAGCAACCTCTAATGATACTAGAACAAAGTGGAAAATCATTTGGAATATTTACAATACAGAACGAAATTCTTCAAACATTAAAAAGTTGTATGTCAACGGAAATACCATTTAAGATGCAAATGAAATTTGTGATTCTCTAAAAATATGTACAGTATTTTGCAAATATTGAAGCTGATTTATCCCATGATATTCCTTTAACTTCTAAGATGTCATGTGAATATTTAGGCACCCCAAACCTGAAAATGAAGTGACTGATATATCTTAGATTAAAAACAAAAAAGAACCCTACCTGTAGTTTTGATGGCATTTTTAATGACCTATTTGAAATATGTACTATGAAATTTCATTTCAACTGTTCTCTTTCCAATGGTACTCTGCCTTCGCAAATGAAATAGCCAATGTGATTCCCATATTTAAAAAGGTGATACTACTTAAACATGATTAACCATAGGTCCATTTAACTTCTGACAACATTTTCAAAAATCTTTAGAGAAAGTCATTTACTAGCGCACTCAAATATGCACCACTGCTCCCGTCTCACAATTTCAACAACATTTCAATTTCAACAACTATAATAAGAATAAAAACCTACTCACCGAGAACAGCTATAAGGATAACTATCGTCAGGACACTAGTGGTGGGCATTTTGAACATGTTGTTTGTTTGAACTTAAAGTAATCAATGCGGTCTTTGCAACTACTAATAAATGTCTAATGTACATGTGTTCATGATGAGTTGACATGAAAATAGAAAAATGTAATTTCCAAACCTTCATTTAAGGTTTTTCCCAAATTTACTCATACAAGATATCAGTATTCCATGACGAAAATATCTCATCTAAATCAAACCCAAGTTTAATAAAGAGAATAACTTGGGATTAAGCACATCCTTTTCAATGTTTACATTAGATAAGAACTAACCTTGATTTTCAGGTGTCATGACATGGTATTTCCGAGCGGTATAGAAATGACTAGGAATACCTCTTTGACATAATATGTCAAAAACATTGGCTATTATAAAATATAAACACAGCTCATAATGTTGTAAAACTACTCTCAAATAAACTTTTATTCTGTATAAACTCCAACAAGAATCCGGTATCAAAATAACACAATAACATTCACATAAACATGCGTTTCAAACCAGAAAGATAAAACTATCAGCTTTTCTAATTTCTATGTTAGGCCATGGAGGTATTATTGAGAAGGAGATCACTCGGCAACAGTTCCCTTTGACGCGACAAACCCATGTGTTCCCCGCTTTTGCATCGCGCGCAGGCGTATTACCCTATAATTCACATTTTTTCGTTAGCAACAACTTGGCAACGACATGCTTTTATACGCTTCCAGCAGAGCAGTTGTGCAATAAAGCGTTTGATTTTAACCCATTAAATATCTTTATAATGAACAGTGTTCTCCTGATTAGATTTTTTCGGACTTTTGGTATTTTATTATTTGTATATTTCAGGAATGGATTCCGTAAAATATTTATGTTAAAATTACTTCTGTGTTCATTATAATTTTGTCTAAAGATTGCTTAGGTCGACTATGAAGCTAAGTCAGCGTAAGACTGAAAAATACTCAGATTTTGGATTGATTTTTCGAATAGTTAACCCTCGTTAACCCTAAAATGACTTAGTTTATTATAATCCTCATTCATTTATTAATTAATATCTGTTAAAATTAGAATTAGCGAATTTTGGCCAATTTATGGAAATTGAAGTTGAAATATACTATACTTTTAAAGGTCATGTAAATGTTCCATTAAATTCGAAACTTTTTTTGGTGGAAAATATTAATATGTTTGATATTTTATGACAGATAAATGTATCAGCTTCAAAATGGAAACGCAGCCATAGTGATTGACTGTATGTAGTGCGCATCGAGAAAAGAAGGTGCTCTCTATTTCGCCATGTTCAATTTTTTGGTAAACTATGCCTGCTGAAAATTTTATGGTGGGGAACACTTGGGACTTCAAAGGCATCGCGTAAACGTTCCTCACGCGCTGCGGCAGCTTTGATCCTGGTTCATTTGCATCGCTGCGTGCGCGTAGCTTTTTCGAGTGATTTTCTCAATAATACCTCTATGGTAGGCCTATGATATCTTACGGATTTATACGATGTACGTGTGTAACTAACTGTCGACCTTCTTGGATGTTATTAAATGTTAGTATAATATCTACAACAACAGCTAGTACCCCCTTTTATAAAGTGTAGATAGGTACAGTAATACCAAAAGCTGAGAAAGAAAATAAACTACAGGCCTAAAGCAGGCCCTCCCTAAACTAGGTCCCTAGCCTAGGTCCTAGGCTGACACCAACAGTCACGCAATGACGTTGGTTGAAATTTTGGAAAAGGGGAAAACAATTGAAGCATGAAATAAAAAATAGAGTGCATAAGAGAAATATTATTACTAAATAATAATAAATAAAATATACCATTTCGGCGTTATTGAACTTGGCCAAGTTATTGAACTTGTAATGTAATTAATGTTAAATAATAATAATAATAATAATAATAATAATAATAATAATAATAATAATAATAATAATAATAATAATAATAATATAATAAT